GCTCGATATTGGACGGAACGAGCAGTCCCAGACATGGCAAAATTTGTGAAGGATAATGAAAGTGGGGATATTTAAGGAAGCCTGATCACGCTCTCCAACTATCCAATACTGTAATGGTCTTCCGTTCATTTTCATTACTCAACAGATGTGTGAAAATGTCATGCAATGAAACGAGTCGTCTTCTGGGCACCAACCTGACCCAAAACTCTGTAATTCATGGTGCTCGTAACCGTTAATTGGACCAGAGAGTGTCCGTCATTCGTACGTTTAGATAGTTTAACCTAGAGATTCGCACACATCTTGTAAAATCCCCATGTTTGTCATCGTACTCGTTTTCGTCCCGAATCTCTCGTACCTCGCTACTCAATTTAACGGTTTATCAGACCCAAGCAATCCACAATGGATAGAGGAGCCTGGGAAGGCTTTCGAATAATATCTGTTTGAGGAAATCGCCTCATTCAGCCATGGTTAGGATCACCATCGTCGTATCGATCTCGTGATTTTTTCATGCCACAATTTTGGCGTTCGGATGCGCACCGAAGGCTAATCACGTCGCAGCGTCGACTAAATTGTTCGCTAGCGAAGGCTAAACGGCAGACGTGCCATACGTGCAACCATCCGTGCCACGTTTATATACAGCTCTCAATATGTGATGCTTCGACATTTAGGGCTAAATTATTTGAAGTTGCCAGATATCACCAACGTTCGCCTTCTGGCGATTCTCTCCAGTGATTTCTGACTTCAAGTCCGACACTTTTTTGACCTGAAACCAAACAACACATCAAAAACAACAAAAAATCGTCCACACAATGGCTGCTGTTATTCAATTTTGTAACTGGTGCGAAGTCGATCTCCTTATTCGACCCGTCCTCACGCAACACATGACCGATGTTGAAGGTCTTGACTCTGTTGACTCCTTCGCCAACAGAACCACTTCTCAAGTTCGTGAAGACATCAAATCTATGTGAAGAGCCCCTGATCCCAACAATGCAAATGCGACTATCAGAGTCACCGCTCGCGAATCGATGACTATTCATCGTATCTCCAAATATGGGAAGCTCCTCATTTTGGTTCAAAGAACCCATACTCCAGCCCTTGGAACCATCCCAAATCTCCTTTTCATTGGTCAATTCTATGATGAAAACCCAGATCTCATGGAAGGGGACTCCTACCCACTTCCTCCCCATCCTCCAAAGTTCAACAATCGCGATGGTCGAATCATGATGGAAAACATTGAAAGTTGGGCTCGTACCGCCTATGGATATCGTGGAATTTGCCTTGATTATATTTTCCGTGAAAATTCTGAACTTCCAGTTGCTGGTGACCCTGGATTCCTCCGAGCCGACGACGGCTCTCGCTCCATTGAAGAAGAACTTGTCCGACGTGCTGCCCACACTGGTGCTGTGTTCCGCCGCAACGACCAGAAATTTTGGGTTATGCTCCATGCCGTCACACATGAAACTGATGCCTACAATCACGTTCGTCAATTTGCTCCAAGTTTGAATGGCAGAGCTGCTTACTTCGCTCTGTTTGCACAATATTGTGGAAGGGGGCATTTCACCAATGAACGCCAAGCTGCTGTCCGTGCCCTCGCAACACTTCACTGGAACGATTAAGCTTGAGGCTTCACTTGGAATACTTTTATCAGTTGCCTTATTGGAGCCTTCAACGACCTCGAGTTGAACGGTGATCCACGCTCTGATGCAAATAAGGTTGACGTACTTCTCGAGAAAACTGTTGGAGATTCTTCACTTTCCAATGGAAGATCACACATTACAGGAGATGCCGTTCTCCGATCCAATTTCCAAGGTGCCATCGATTATTTAACAACACAAGTCTTAGCTGCAGGTAACGACAACACCCAGCGCCGCAATCGACAACTTGCTGCTTTCACCCGTGGTGGTGGCGGACGCGGTGGTGATGGGAGAAATGGTGGTCGTGGCCGAGGAAATGGTGCCACAAACCGCCTGCAATCAAATGTTCCAGATTGCTTTAGCCGCAATGGTATACTACTAAATGATGGAGGTTATTGAAATCAAATCTGGAGAGAGGAGTTTACGCAAGAAGAAAGAAATGTCTGTTTAGAAATACGTCGCAACCGTCGCAATCATGGTGGTGGTCGTGGCGGAAGAGGCCGTGAAGGCCGTGGTGGTCGTGGTCGTGGTCGTGGTATCAGCGCTGTCCATGATGGACGAGCTGATCAAGAAGAAACAAAAGAAGATAACAATGATGGGCGTGGGGCAGGTGCAGGAATGAGTCGTCGTCTTCGCAACAATCGTGACGACGATTGACTAGGAACCTCATCTGTTGGATCCCTCACAAGCATTCGCCCAAATTCTCGTATGGTATCAGTGCTATCATCTACAAACACTCTTACCAACCGATGTGAACTGGACTCGCACGCAGATACATGTGCTTTTGACCCTGCTGGATGTTGCGTCCTTTCAACGTCCTCTCAGTCAATAAATGTCACCGGTTTTCACAATGGTTTGAAAATAAACGATGTTCGAATTGGGAATGTCTGTCTTGCCTTTGACTGTCCATTTGATCATCGAACCTACTGTCTGCATTTCTGTGAAGTGCTTCTGATCCCTGGTCTAGGATCGCATCTACTCTGTGTCAATCAACTGCGTGCCAACAACGTGGTGGTAAATGACGTGCCGTTAATTCGATTGCGGCCTGAACAACGAAACAGAGAAGCTCATGCTATTTTGACATCGGGTCTAAGGATCCCATTACTATTCGACAAACCAATTTCCTACTTTACATGTCGCCAACCTACAGATGAAGAGATCAGCGATATCATGGAGTTTCAACCAATTTGGATGACTGCAGACATTCCTTGGCAGCCTTACGACCCTGACTCTTGGCGCCAAGAAGAAGCTCTGCGACAACAGATTGATGCTGACTATCAAGCACCGTATCACCAACTCGCATCTTTCACTCGACTTGATTCAACGCTCCCAACTGCTGCTTGCCTTGATCGTTTACCGCAAGTTTTAGGGGACAGCAACAATGTCGTATGTGGTGTACACAGTTTGACGATTCGATCGATGAAAACTTCCGGAAAATCCTACCTCATCAAGCCGGATCAACTTGCTCGTCGATGGAGAACCAGTATTGAATGTGCTCGTCGCACCCTGGAGAAGACAACTCAACGTGCCGTTCGTGATTGGTCAGTCGTTCAAGGGTCTTGTCGTTTTCGCCCTGTACAATATCAGTTGGAGTATCCGCGATTAAAGACGAATGTCTATGTTGATGTTAAGTTTGGACCCTGCAAGTCAGCTGAAGGAAACACTTGCGTCGCGGTCTATGCTACACCAGTACAGTGGGCTCGTGCTTATCCGTTGAACAAAGAATCAGATGTTCACACAAGCCTCACACAACTATTTCGTCAGTTCGGTTTTGTCTCATACCTGACGATGCCAAGTCACTCACTCAAGGGAAATTCCGAGAAGTTGCTAACAAAGGACAAGTGCCAATTCATCCTATTGAGCCTCATCATCCTAATCAAGCACTGACAGAAGACACAATTTGGGAAGGAAGTTGACTTTATCGTCGATTCATGCATGCACGGAATATCCCTATTGCATTCTGGGATCGAGTTTTTATGTATGCTTTTGAGATTCGCAGTCACATGGCACTGGGACTTGCAATACAAAAAGGAGAATGTGGAGCCACAATCGTTTCTGGCAACACTAAAGATATCTCTCACCTGGTTGATTTGCTATTTGGGATTGGTGTTGGTACCTTTCACCTAATCGCTCATCTAAGGATGGGAAACAACTATGTCGTTGGCTTGGTCCAAGTTTTACTATTGGAGCAGCTCTTTGTTTTGCTGTTGCTATTGCCAATGGACAAGTACTACAACAATCGTCAGTGATTCCTTTGTCAGCCGAAGAGCGAAACAGTGAACCAATGGAAGAGAAAAAGAAAGAGTTTATGGAAGACCTGAAGAAGAATCTGAAGAAGAAGGCTGATGGAGTTTCTATCTCTGAAGAAGAACTTGATCGCATTCGGCATAAATACAACATGCCGATCTCTGCAATCAAAGATGTGGTTACCCGCAGTATGCACAATATGAAGATCACCCACAAGAAGATCCTCGTCACAAGATTGAAGATGATTTTGAAGAGCCGCCAGATCAAGAATCAGATCCTGTTGAGTTCGACAAATATGTCTCTGCAAAAGTATCATTTAATGCAGATGGAGTTGAGACTTTCGGAGTTGTTCAAGGTCGGAAGCATGACTCATCTGGAAATTGATTGGTCGCTACCACAAGAATCCACACCTTGACACATCTATCTATCAAGTGGAATTCGAGGATGGAAAAGTGGAAAGTTTCTATGCAAATCAGATTATTGAAGGGATAATGATGACTGTCGATGATGAAGGTAACACGATGTACCGGATTGGACGAGCAGTTAGAGGGGACGATGGATGGTATACTACCTCTAGCGGTCTCAAGCGTACACGAAAGACAACTAAAGTATGGAAATTATTAGCTGAAATGAAAGGTGGAGAAACCGAATGGCTTGATCTATCAGTAGCAAAAGAAGCGTTTCCTATCGAGGTCGCTAAATATGCTGTTGCAAACAAGCTTGTGTCAGGGCCTGCCTTTGCGTGGTGAGTTCCCTACACTTTGAGAAAGCGTGATCAAGTTTTGAAAGCTGTTAAGCGCCGTGCTGTGAAAAGACAGAAGCCAGAAAAGTTTGGTATTGAAGTGCCTGGTCCTGGGCCAAAAGGTGTTGCACGTGCGTATGAACTTGATGCTCAGAATGGTACCTCACATTGGAATGATGCCTTGATCAAAGAAGTGAAAACAATCCTACCAGCTTTGAAGATTCTGGAAGAAGATGAAGATGTTCCCGTTGGGTACCAGCTCATTGAGCTTATGACTGTTTTTGATGTCAAGATGGATCTCACACAGAAGGCACGAATATGTGCTAGAGGGGACCAAACGGATCCTCCAATGTCTGTCACCTATACAAGTGTTGCGACAAGGGAAAGTATTCGACTTGCTTTTGTTATTGCTGCTTTGAATGGTTTGAATGTTTTGAGTGCTGACGTCTCCGGTGCATATCTGAATGCCAAATGTGCCGAGAAAGTTTATTGTATTTTAGGG